ACACACACACACTTCGCGCCGCCAGGGGCTTCGGGCGCCGACCCACAGAAATCCGCGCGGGCCTCCGCCAGTTGTTCGTCGTGTCGCGCGTTGCGCGGCCTGTTCGGCCCCATTCGCTCAGCGCGAGGGGCTCCCAGTCCTCGGGCCGGCCCCGGAGGACATCACCGAGCTGAAGAAGGCCATGTGGCTCTCCGAGAGGAGCCGCGCCCGGCCCCCTCCCTGGCCTCCCCCAGTCTTCTGCCTCCCCTTTCCCACTTTCCCCTCATCCCGGGAGGAGGAGGAGGAGGAGGACCAGTGCAAATCCAAGAGTCATCAACGGTTTTGCAATGATCCCTCCCTCCAAGCTCCCTCTTCATAGGCCCCTGCAACGGTTCAATTCCATGAAGGGAAGCTGCCTCGATGGAAGACAACTGTTTGAAGACCCTGAAGCATGCCAAAACATTGTTTCGGGATTTCAACGCCACGGATCAGCCTGACTGTTGCGTCTTGACGATCCAGAATGGTGCCAGAATGCCGTTCCTGGGACTTCAACACCGCGAATCAAAGTAACTGTTGCACCCTCAGAACCCTGAGTCCGTCCACAACACCATTACAGGTACGTTGATCATGAGTGTTCGTGAAACGATTTTTGCTTATAAAGAAGAAATGCGGGCGCGGCGCTACGGCGAGAGCCACATGTTGAAAAGGAACCGCCATCGATCCTTGAAACTCTTGCACATGTTGAAAACGCATTGGCGCGGTGCTAAGGCGAGAGCCGCATTTTGAGAACCACCCGCCCTCAATCCGTGAAGCTTTCCCAGTCTTTCAAAGCGCCGTGCGCGACGCTTTGGCGAGAGCCACATTTTTTAACGACCCGCCCTGAACATGTAAAACCCTGACAATGTTTAAAACGAATGTGCGCGCCACTAAGGCGAGATTTTGCAAGCGACCCGTCCTCAATCCGTGAAAAAACCCTTGCAATCTTTTACATCGAGTGCGAGCGGCGCTAAGGCGAGAGCCACATTTTGAAAACGATCCGCCCCCACTCCGTGAAACTTCAGCAAATGTTTAATACAACGAATGTGCGCGGCGCTAATGCGAGAGCCACATTTTGAAAACCACCCGCCCTCCATCTGTGAAGCTGTGGCCAACGTTACAGCATCAGGGTCATAAATGGCGAGGAAGTCTCAGGTGAAACGCCCGGCCTGCCCTAATCACTGGCCTCAGGATGCGACAAGAAATGGAGGAGGAGGAGGAGAAAGAGGAGGAGGAGGAGGACGAGGATATCGTGGAGGAGGAGGGGGAGGAGGAGGAGGAGGAGGAGGAGGAGGAGGAGGAGGAGGAGGAGGCGGAGAAACCAGGAGAAACAGAGGAGGAGGAGGAGGAGGCGGAAGGGAGGAGGGAGAGGAGGCGGAGGAGGAGGAGGCGGAGGAGGAGGAGGAGGAGGAGGAGGAGGAGACTGCTCCCTCCCTATCAGGGGTTCTGAGCGCGTCCCCGGCCCCAGGGGCCCCCAGCTCTTCGCTCCACTCCGGCGTCCCTCTGAGGCCCTCTGGGCCTCAGGGGACCCAGAGGACCCCACGGAGGTTGCCTGGGCTGCCGCCGGACCGGAGGGCTCCACGGGCACTCCTGGAGTCTGGACGCCCGAAATGGGTACGGAAAGAGTGGGTACAATGCTGAACAGCAGATCCTGTTCATCTTGAACAGGACCCGCCGTCCGCGCCGCCGCGGCCTGTGTCCATCCGAGACAGGAGGCCTCCTGCCCAACAGCGGCCGCTCTTGGGTTGGGACAACACTTGTTGTTGGGCATTGTACCCCTTCTTTCCGTGCCCATATGTCGGGCGTCCAAATGGAGGCCGCGGGGACCTCGTTCGACATCCCGTGGGCACCCCGAGCCGCCCCGAGGAGGAGGGGGAGGAGGGGGAGGAGGAGGAGGAGGAGGAGGAGGAGGAGGAGGAGGAGGAGGAGGAGGAGGAGGAGGAGAAGGCAGGAGGAGGAGGAGGAGGAGGCGGAGGGACTCTGTGGGTGCCAGGGACTCGTCTGGCGACGCCCGGCCCCCGCGTGCGAGCAGCTGTGACAAGGCCGCTCGCTCGTGCGGCGTGGGGTGCTCGGCCTGTGTCCCCCCGCGGGGGCTGCGCCCGCCGTGGTCCGCGGCGGGCTGGAGGTCGGCACCGCCATGGGCGACAGAGGACAGGCGCAGGCGGAGGTGTAGGAGGACGAGGAGGAGGAGGAGGAGGAGGACGAGGAGGAGGAGGAGGAGGAGGAGGACGAGGAGGAGGGCGAGTCGGACGAGGAGGAGTAGGACGAAGAGGAGGACGAGGAGGAGTAGGAGGACGAGGAGGAGGAGGAGGAGGAGGAGGAGGAGGGGGAGCAGGAGGAGGAGGAATGCACACCTCACGCAGCAGGCCCCGCCTCATGTCTGCCTAGTTCGTCAAGAGGGGAGCGCACGGCATTCCATGCACTGGTGGTTTAATCAAGCAGTGGCGAAGCGTCCTGGCTCGCCTACAGGCCTACGAAACAATGTTCTAAGAACCTGTTGTGGTTTCCGCGACATGTTCTTAGAACATTTCTGGCTGGGACTGTCTTGTTTCAACACATCGGGTTAACTAGTGTTGTAAGAGCATTTCCTTTGTTCTTAGAACAGCTCTGGGTTCTACGAACATTTCGTGGTAGGACTATAGGAATGCCGGGACGGTCGGTGCCTGCTCAATTTGATATGCGCGATTGCTTTCCCATCAGAGCGTTGCGTCTTTGCTAAATGGTGCTCTGGCTACAGCGCCGCCCTCACTGCAGGATCGGCGCGTTGAATTCCCGTCATTCAGAGAGGCGCTCTTCCCCTGGCGATGGCCGCATGTTTTTCCATCCGAGGCCTTCCTCGTCGTTGGCGGCCCCTCCCTTCCGCTCCTCCGCCTTCCCGGTCCTCATGCTCCTCCCGCTCTTTCCATTATATTCATGGTTTTCTTTCATCTGTGCGGACAAGCTTCGATGATGCCACCTGTACAATCAGAGGCGCGCCAGCGCGTCACAAGTGGGACACTCTTGCCCCTACTACTGCTGCTCCTCCCACCCCGATCCACCCCTCTCCTTCTGCCTCTTCTGCTGCTGCTGCTGCTGCTGCTCCTCCTTATCCGTCCTTATCCTCCTATCTCTCCCTCTCATCCGCCACCGCCTCCTCCAATTTACGAGCTCCCCTCCCTCGACACTGCGCATCGCACGGTGGGGCCACTTGGGGCACCCGGGCCCGCCTGGGACACCCTCCGGAAGAGGGAGGAACCTCGGCGCAGTGGCAAGGGACCGTGCGCGCGCCCGGCCCTCGCTCGATCCTCCCACTTGCCCCCCCTCCTCCTTCTCCCCCCCCCCGGCTATAAAACGACGCGAAGATCGGGACAAAATAGGATCGGGATAACTCGAAATCTCTGAGAATCGGCGGGTTTGGAGGATGTATTGGGCGCCGCGGCCGCTCCAGAGCGTTCCGGAACGCTCTGAGAGCGCTCTGGAACGCTCTGGAGCGATTTATCCTGATCCTAGCCCTGTTCTAGGCCACGCCTCCCGTCGTGCTGCGTCGGCTGCCGCCCCCGCAGGGGGTGCCTCCCATTCCCCCTTCCCCCGCCCGCGCCCTGCACAGAGAAGGGTTCCGCGGCGTGCGGCCTCGGCCCCAGGGCGTCGCGGGCGCGAGCTCGGGGGGAGGGGGGGAGCACCTCATCACCCGGCCTTGGTCGTGCCCCCCCTCCCCCCCCTGCTACTGCTCCTCCTGCTGATGGCCGTCCCCTCTGGCTCCCCCTCCTCCCGCTGCTGCCCCTCTTCCTCCTTCCCCCCGTCCCCCTCAAACTTCAACCTCCTCCTCCGCCTCCTCGTCCTTTGCCACTGGGTTCCCCTATAATCCCCTTGCTCCCGGTCCTCCTTTCTGCTCTGATTCGTCCTCGTGCTCGTCCTCCACCTCCTCCTGCCCTCCTCGTGCTCCTCCTTATCCTCCTCCCCCTCCTCGTTCTCCTCCTCCTCCTCCTCCAACTCCTCCAACTCCGCGTGATCATCCTTTGTGTTCCCGGTATCCTGCGCTTGCGAATCCTGCTTCGGTCCAGCGTGTATCCAGTGCCCCCTTCTCCCCCCCTCTGCCCGCAGCGCCGCCGACGACCTGAAGCGCCTCATCGACAGCGCCAACGCGCCCATCCTCGGGATCGACACGAAGGGCTGCGTGAACGAGTGGAACAAGAAGGCGACGACGATGCGGGCAAGATTTATGTCCATATCCAGTGCGCCTTCGATTTTTTGGGAAGCGGCGCCACAAGGCCGAGGTGCACTGGACATGGATAAAAATCGTGCCTCCAGGGAGAAAATTCATCCATATCCAGTGCGCCTCGGGCTTCTGGGGAAGGGAACCCGAAACTCCATACTGCAGTGGATATGAACAAAAGTACTGCTCGCAGACGACGGCGGCGACGACGCCGACCCTCCCCGCCCGAAGACCGCCGCCCGGCGCAGCGAGGCTCGGCGCGTCCGCCGCGCCTCCCCCCTGGCCGGCCCGCGCGCTCGAGGCCGCGTATCCGCCGCCTGGCAGAGGGCCTCGCGGCTCCCGGGCGGAGGCGAGAGGGGTTTCTCCTTCTCCTTCTCCTCCTCCTCTTCCTCCTCCTCCTCCTCCTCCTCCTCCTGCCCTTCCAGCTTGTCCTGCCTCTCCACCTCCTCCTGCTCGCCCAGGGCGGCCCGGGAGGACCCCAGGCGGCGCCACGACGGCTCGAAGATCGGGGGCGGCAAAGAGGGGGGTGATGACTAGGGGGGGGGTGGATTTCATGGCGCGGGCCATGAG